TGAGAGCAAAAAAGCTTAACATTTCAACGGAAGTTTAGGACTGGTTACTCAGCACCAGTCCAATGAGAGAGTCCCTGCTCTGCAGCAGGATATAAAGCAGTTGTCCATGTAAATGTGTAATAAATTCAGAAAAGGAAGAGATTTCTTAGCATCTAAATTATAATCAGATAGGAAACCATGTAATCAAATGAGAACAATCCAAACTCAGCAAATATCATGCAGATTAAGTTGGCCCCGTGCCGCTAATTGTATACGTATCCTTAGCTGTGCTCATCATCAGTCGCCAGCCTCCCCTCACTAGGTGCCCGGTATGCTTTCATCTACATCCTATTTTTGTGAATTTTTTTTTTTTTTCTATCTTTAGCCCACAATGCACATTTCTTAGTTTTCATGTTATGGCCAGTTCTTAGGTTCCCTTTGCAAAGGCTCCATGTATTTCAGTACAGGGCTTACCAGGGAAATCTGCTCTTACTGGTGTAGCCACCATGCTGCTTTGGTGTTTGCACATCTGTTGGCTTAACTGTACTTGGTTACTCTTGGTCCTCTCTCTGAATAGTCATTTATCTGCTCTCAAGAATCCCTTTATGACAAAACTCATAGACACAGACAACAGTATGGTGGTTCCCAGAGGGAAGAGGGGTGGGGAGTATATAGGGAAAAGGGGTCAGATATATGGTGACGGAAGACGATTTGATTTTGGGTGGTGGGCACACAATGTAATATACAGATCACGTATCACAGAATTGTCCGCTTGAAACCTAGATAGTCTTATTAACTAATGTCACCCCAATAAATTTAATTAAAAACTTCAAAATAAGGAATCCCTTTATTTTTGGTTATTGGCTTTCCAAGGATTAGGGCCTTAAATACAATTGCTCCATGATAAACTGTGTTATGTCCATGTTGAATGAAGAGGTCTTAGACCTAAAGTGGGGCCTGCAAAACAATCAAGCTGTAGGAAGAAATTCTTTTATGTGTAGTCATAAATCTCACCCTTTTATGTACTTTAGTGTATTTTATAATGTAAATAATACGTTCTTATATATTACATGTATGCATCTTCTAAATAGGGCGCTGATGCACTCATATTAGCAGAGTTTGGCAGGGTAATCTGCTCTGTCACATCTCTTTCTGGTCTGGCCCCTCTGGCTCCAGTGACCATTCTGTTCATCTGACACGTGCTGACTGACCAGTTCAGTACAATAACCAGTGCTGGAATCACACTAGTCACTCCATCTTTCCAGCCTGTCTTTTTTTTTTTTTAATTTTAGAGGACATTTTTTAAAGCTGGGGACATGAAATAAGAAAGGGCTGGGGAAATGAGCCTAGGCTGGTCTGTTTGGCTCACTAAGAATCAGAGAAAAGGAGGCCTTGGGGACAGGATCAGGGGTTGGCATAGGACGAGCTGCTGCTGCCCCTTGCTCCCTGGTTGCAAGCCTCATGGGCTCCCTTAGAGTTTAGGAGACACATGCCTGTGGGGAAGAAGTGGGGTGGGGAGAGAGGAAAGGCATGGGCATGTTCCTGGGAGGAAGAGGCACCTCCAGTGTGTCTTTTAGCCAGTTCTTACTGCTCTTTTCTGTGATAAGTGGCTCTCTAAATTGGTGAAGTCATCTTAATGGAAAAATGTCCATGTTGCATACTGTTCTAAGGATTACTTTCTTGAAGATTACAAAAAAAATCTTTATCCATGTCTTCCTGATTTTAAAACCCTCCACATTCCTCCCTTTCCTCCTAACCCTTCTTAACACAGATTATAGAACCATTTATAAATAATGAGGAAATAGCAATTATACTTACACAGCAAGAGAAAAAAATCAAAATCATTTAGGATAACAGATATATTCCAAGAAGCATTCTTCAAAAAATGAAGTTATACTTTAAAAAACATGTATCAAGGGAGCTTGCTCTTGAAAGTTATTCCCATATAAATGTTTTTATAAAACAAAGAACCATTTTCAAATAAATGACCTTTCTTCTTCTGTATTTTATTATTCAGGGTTTGCTTGAATTGAGATATATCTTCACTAGGCAGTTTTCTAGCCATCTCATTTTATTTTTAACAGGAAATAAAAGTATTTGGGGCCTAAGTATATTTATATGAAGTCCTGAAAATTTTACACAAAATTTCAGCAGAATGCCAACGCTCAATCTGGCATTATGTTGACTTTGAGACACAGTATTTGTGACCTAAAGCCACATAACCTTTCTGATCTATAGCAGTAATGGTCTAACTGGTCTCCAGGTTACCAGTCCTCCTGTCCGAGTCCCCTCCCTTCCCCTTCCTTTACACTGTTGTCAATAATATCTTCTAAGACATGCATGCACTTTGTTATTTACCTATTTAAATCAATCCATGCCCATTTTTTAGTTGCTATATAAAAACCTCCATATTTCTTGAAGTACCATCCAACTACCCTCACAACCTGGACCCTCCACTGGTCCTCACCCCAATTCCAAACTGTCTACAGTTTCATCAGTGGGACCACTCACTTCCTCATATTTCCATATCTCTTTACCTTTCTGTTTCCTCTATCCGGACCTGTCCCCCAACTCTCTGCCTAATGAAATCTTATAATATTTGGTTAAAGTTTTATCTTTTTTGTGAAGTCTTCTCCAGATCTCTGCTTTTTTGGTACTTCGATATTTCTTTTCAGACCTTTAGGACACACTTAATTCAAGGAAGCATTAGTTTGTCCACCTGTCAAAGGGTAAGCTCTTGGAAGCAAGAGCTCTGCCATTTTAAGCAGTGAATGTCCATGTTCATTATAAAGTCAAGTAATCGGCGTATGATATTTTGTACCCCAGGATCCCCTGAGAAGTTAGTTATTTCTGAGATTTTTAAAAATGTGCTTGTTACATTATTTATCATTTAGTTGGTACGTGTTAAATTCAGAGACATTTCTTAATTGAGACATAATTTATAGCTTTTAAGAGGCACTCTTTGGAGTGTTCATATTCTGGTTACTTAATTTGATGTTTAATTCTGTAGTCAGATTTAAATTAAAATAGCACTTGAGGCCTCTCAGCCTTTGGAATCATGTCAGACAGAGAATATGCCTAGAATTTATGTCAAACCTGACCTAATAAAACATACATATACTTGAAGATTTGGGCTACCCTGCTAATTTTATTAGTATCTTAAATTTAGTTATGAGCTTCCTCTTTTAAAAATCAGTTGAAATATTATTTAATAAGATTTCAAGTATACCTATAGCAGCATACAGTCAGAGTCTAGTAGTTATTTCCTATTTCTTCTTTATTTCCTATCTTATTCTTTTTGCAGGTATTTGTTGCAGTGTTAGTANAGTTATTTCCTATTTCTTCTTTATTTCCTATCTTATTCTTTTTGCAGGTAGTATTTGTTGCAGTGTTAGTATTATGTTTTATATATATATTATATATATATATATATAATATATATATAAAACTTTAAACACTATTCTCCAAGGTTGGAGATAATATGCTTAAGAGAAAAATCTTGTATGCATTATTCTATAACTTGAAAAGTTGCTTCAAGTTATACAATTATAAAAATAAAAGAGACAAAAATAAAGTCCTTGAAGAAAAAGAAAATAATCATGACATTTCCAATAAGAAAATGGAGTTGAAAATAATGTTTCTTCTAAAATAAATACTTTATTTTCAGACTTCATAGACTTATTTTTTATGGAGCTTTTTAGGTCAAATTAAAAGATCAATAGATGCTGCTAACTTAGACATCAGACTCTGAGAGATTAATTTATTTTCCTTAGAACTGTATTTCTTTGTTGGAGAAATTAATGAAAATATCATTGATAAATGAATAGAGAGCATTCTACAAAGCAAACACGTAAGGGCATAACCTGTTTCATTCATAATATTAAGCTTGCATCCAATCTGAAGTAATTTTTTACAGTGAAGTTTCAAAAAAAACCTCGGAGAAAATGAAATAAAAGGGAACTAAATAATGGATTTGCCTCTTTTAAAATAACGTGTAAGGTAGAAAAGAGAATAAAACCTCTTGAATAATTTTACTGACTTATTTCTCATTGAAGTTGACTATCAAATGAGTCAACGGTAAGGGTTTTGTTTAAAAGTAACAGAATATGGTATAATTTTACAAATTATTAGCTTTAAAATAGGAGCAGAGAGACTCTGTGACTGAGCTCCTCAAGACAATGGCCACAGCGATCCGCAGCCGACCGGCTGAGGCGCTCAGCGCGCTAACAACGTGTTCTTGAGTTAAGCTTCGATCGCACAGCTTACATATGAGAGTCTGGCTCTAAAGTTTTAGTTAATTTTACTCTTGCTCCCATTTCCCCCAAGAATCATTCAAATAAAGGTGTAGAGTGTGCTTATATATCTCCGGAGAAGCCTGGGTTGTTCATTTTTCAGTAGGATCAGATCATTCCTCAACATTTGCTCTGAGGACAGAACAGAGCCGTTTCACAGCCACTGGCTCGTCACCGTCTCTGGCTTAACTGATCGCACCGTCTTCAGTGTGCACAGCTTCACTGAAAGGAGGTAATTAACGAAGTGTCAAAAATACCTCAGGCAAAGGCAGATTTGCGGGAAGGCATGGGCTTCAAGAACGTGTTAAAATAAAATGCCAGGACAATGGAAGAAATATAACGGTTAAATATAAGAAGGCTTTGTTTCGTTTTAAATCAGGCACTCACATAGAGTAAATACAGCGGTCCCTCGCGTTTCGAATGTAATCCATTCTGGAGACCATTCGAGTTCTGAAACGTTGGGAAACCGAGGGATCGAAAGCCCACAGCTGGGCCTCAGGGTCTTGCCCTGAGCGGAAGCCGGGCGGCATGTTCCACTTCCGGGGCGAGTTCGAAAACCGAAGCGTTTCCTTCCGGGTTTACCACGTTCCTAACCCGAAATGTTCATCCATGGGGACATTCAAAAACCTGAGGTACCACTGTATTTTTCAACTAAATAATGATGTTAAATTGGGAAAATGACGAACGGGAGCAGAAAATTAGAAAAACAAAACCAGAATTATTCTAATGACATGACAAACAATGAAAGCAAACAAGCTTTACTGGGAAAGAACATGTAAACTTACGGTTGTTGTATACGCGGCTTCTGGATCATCTTCCAGCACCCGGGAGAGACCAAAGTCAGAGACTTTGCACACGAGGTTGCTGTTGACCAGTATGTTCCTAGCTGCGAGGTCCCGATGCACGTAGCCCATGTCAGAGAGGTACTTCATTCCCGACGCGATGCCCCGAAGCATGCCGACCAGCTGGATGACTGTGAAGTGGCCGTCATGTTTCTGAAAGAGAATCACACTGATTTATTTAGTGTAGTGTGTGTGTGTGGTAATAAATAAAATCTTTGAACCTATTTTACTGGATCAGATGAATGTGAGCATCAAGTTGCTGACCACTGACTATGTTTATAACAAAATGTAAGTATTTGTTTGACATTAAAGGAAAGAAAAATCTAGCTGGAAGTGATGAAGGATAACAAATAAAAGACAGAAGGGAACCAACCAAATTAAGTTCCGAAAAAATAATTTCAAAAACTGTAAGAGGAAAGTAAAATCAATAAGGTCATAGCATTGACTATCAAGGAGACAGAATCCACTTTTCACAGCTGTGAGCGCCGAACCAGTCATACGGGTGGGCAGAAGGGGCAGCAGAACCGAGGATAGGATGAAAGCTGCGTGATAACTGGAAATATGGTAAAAAAAATCACTCAGGAAAAAGAAAAACTGATTGCATAAACAAGAAACAAGTTTAGGAAAGCTGCAGGAGAAAGAAAAAAACACGCAAAGAGAAAATAACCGGATTTTCCCATCTTTTATTGAATGCAGCAAATTGGAAGTTGTTGGGAATTGACCGAAAACTGGACTCTTTTAGCTCCCAGTTGGAAAGATTAAATGAAATATGAGTAACAAGCCAGGCACAGCACTGCTGTGTAGTAGTCACTCCCTTGGATACTTACTCCTCTCACCTTAATTAAAAAACAACATAGAATTTTTTAAAAAAGAAAAAACATGCAACTGTCATCCATGCAAGATGTGTACACCAATAAGACTAGATACAAATAGTACCCTAGAAATGAGAGAAAATGAAAATAAAAAATACTGTAAGTTTGGAAAATAATGCATATTGTTCTATGTAGTTATTTGGAGATTGTTGTCTTTGATGAAGACATAGAGAAAAAATTCTCAAGTTGGTTTTACACATCAGGTAACATTTATTTATGAATGATATTAAAAATGAATTTCCAGTGAGAAATTATAGGGTCATATTACCTTATACAGTGTGGGAGAAGCATAAATAAGAGTATCTTAAATTTTGCAAAGTTAAGCAGTTTTCATGGATATCTGACTTAAAACTACAGAGCAGCTGAGACATGGCGATGATTTGACCAGACCACAGTGACACAGTCTCCTATGCAACGATGATTCATTGGTCAGTTGAAGAACAGGCTTATACAAATGAAATAAACTTTGTCTTACTATATCAACTTATCTCCCTGACAGCCCTCTGACAGCATCACCCAACTCAAGTGCAGAGTAAGGAAAAAAAGAACCCTCTCTTAAAAGAAATATTCTACGGCGAGAGTACCCATTTGAGCAGGCTCTTCTGTATAATTAATGTATAAAAGATAATCCAGCAAAGAAAATCTTTGGTGTTATTAGCTCTTTATGTTTCCAATCCATCTTCTCAGACAGTGTACTATTAGATGAAATTTGCCTCTTTTATCCTGTGCTCTACATACCTCTCCTCTATTAGGAACCTCAAAGCCTTTGAGTAGAATTGAAAGCATAAATTCTTTTGGCCAAGAAAGGCTTACGCTAAATTTAAAGAGGCCGCTCTTACACCTTTTAGAAAATGAAGCTGCCTGGTGTCACAGTTCTTGTGAATGGAGAATTGCTACATAGTAGGAAACGTTAATGAACCATTTGAAAACTAAGGAATGCCTCAGTTTCCTTATCTGTACAATGAGAATAGAGTAAGTCAGAGCTGTAGTGAGAATCACATACAAACACAGAGCAGCCCCTGACTTAATTTAATAATAGTTACTATTTAATAAAGCCTTGTTGTTATAATTATATGTAGGTTTTGTAATTTTAATATGAGTCAGACAATTCTCTCACTTTCCTGAAAAACCAATTGGTAACATAAACTCTTATAGCATAAAGAGAAATAGTTATTTAACACCAGGTTGAAATTTAATTTCCTATTTATTCTGAGGGTGGCACACAGCACCAAGTTATTTCTTTTCTTAAACACAACTATTTTAAGAGCAAGTTTAGGTTAACCGCAAAATTAAGAGTGAGGGATTTCTCCCATACTTTCTGCTCACACACATGTATAGCCTCCCCCATTATCAACATCTCTCACTCAGTGGTACATTTATTACAATTGATGAACACACACTGACACATTATAATCACCCAAAGTTGACATTAGGCTTCATTCTTGGTGTTCAACATTCATTCTATGGGTTTGGACAAATGTATGACATGTATCCACAATTATAGCATCATACAGAGTATTTTCACTGCCCTAAAATCTGTTGTGTCCACTCCCAACCCTGGGAACCACTGATGCTTTTTATTGTCTCCATAGTTTTCCCTTTTCTAGAATGTTATATAGTTGGAATTATATAGTATGTAGCCTTTTCAGATTGGCTTCTTTCACCTAGTAATGTGCATTTAAGGTTTTTCTATGTCTCCTCATGGCTTGATTTTTTTTTTTTTTTTTTAATTCA